GGAATAAATATATATAATCGAACATTACTATAGTAAAAAAAAAAAACAAAATCTGCACAATTATTCAATAGAATCACTGGAAAACTATAGAGTTTTCCAGCGACAGCGCTGGGATTTTCTATGAATTTTTTGACCTACGTGTCAATGATAAATATGTCGAGAAAAAGGAAAAGACTTTTAAATCATTAGATTGTGCATTCATTATACTATTGATTATAATATGTTCGATTTTACATTCCTGACAATTATTACAAAATGCGAGGAGCTACCGTGTTGAGAACCCCTTTCCGGTTATCGACAAATTTATGCTCGGGCCCTATCATACCAACAGTTTCGTACGCTCCATCGTAGTCCATGCGCCACCGCTACGATTTTTGTTGTTGAACACTTTACATTGGCCCTGTTCATCTCCCCTATAATCTCTGGTGCGGTGGCCCGTTTCCCCCAAACACAGCTGGGCGAGTTTCTAGATAAGTCGACAGGGTATCGACAGCCTCTCTATAATGTTCATAAGCATGGTTTCACCCAAACCACGCCTCTTGGCATTATTTAATTGGTCTATTCACCTCACGCGCAGTTCACTTGAACCGCCGTTCGATGTCACTCTCATCTCTCGCTCAGCTTCTTCAGCTGGCGTTAGATGTCGCTCTCTCTCTCTCTCTGTCCCTCACTAGTACCTAGTACCACTAGTACCAGCAGGACTGCGTTTGTCCGAAGACCTTGGTGTTCGACCTGCTACGCAGGCGGTTGTTGTTGTCTCGCCCGCGGGATCGCGAGCGGGCGCGTGAGCGCGGATGTGAGCGCGAGTTCTGTGCTTGCAGGGCTGCGACAGACGCGGTGAGTACTGCGATCTGAGCTGCTAGCTGCGCGTTTTCCCCTGCACTCGACTTTGTTACCGCCGCGACAGTATCTGGATGATAGACCTCGTGGATCTTGTCTGCGAGCTTTGCTATGTCATCGGTGTTTGCCTGGGGCTGGATCACCAGACATGCTCGGGTGCTCTCCGGAAGATGAGATAGCCAGCGTGCCCTCAAGACTTCACCATCGATATCTGGAACTAAACTTTTCAAATGCCTTAGATATTGAGAGGGTAATCGATTTCCAATCGACTCCCGATCAAGTAATTGGATAAGATTTGCTTCCTTGGACTTTGTAAATCGAGCAATCAGTGTGTTTCTGAGACCTTGGAAAGGTGCGACTTGATCAGGGGTAATAACTACATCCTCTACTTCAGTAGCTGATTCCGTATCAATCAATGGTAATGTTCGGCAAAACTTATCTGTTTCTGTTACAATTCCGTAATTGCGGAATTGGGCCTCCAGCTGTATGAACCAAGTCCTGGGTTTGTCACGCGAGAACTCCGGTGCTTTGATCCGCGGCAGTGCGGAGGCTGTCGTTGTCGTGACAGTCGGGACCGTCAGCGTGCCGCCTGTTGTGGTAGACATCGTATCTCACGTTGTTGGTTTTGAATGCGAAGCTAGGATTATCGGTTTCCAGAATTAAATTCCGAAGAGAAATAAAATTGAAAGTATAAATGTGACGACAAATAAAGGCGTTATAAGTCTCTATTTATGGCCAACACAACACAACGTCTCTGGGTGCTCAAAAATGTGTCGGTGCGAGGTCACTGTTCACTTGTATACGGCGCTTTGTTTTGATTTCACCGAAACACTGAGGAATCAATGGTTGGCACTCGGACGCTTCGAATGTTCTAGAAACTTCGAGATGCCGTGCTTAATATTTTCGTTGAGAAAAACCATACGGTGAAAATAATGTTTTATCAAGCACGTGAAATAAAATTGCACTTGCACTCGGAGTTATGCGGCACTGGAAAGCTAGCTGCGCGGGTGTTCACCAAGGATAGGATAAAACCGTTGGGAAGCGCGGATAAAACTTTCGAGCAAAAATGCACGCCACGCCGCGAGTTAATTTTCCCTTTTGATTAACGCGAAATTCCCTTATTTTGATCACGTCGGGGTCCCCAATGGAGGGATTGAGGTGTTGTCGGGAAGGTAACAATCCACTAACAAATGCAATTAAACTAATAATTACAGATTTATTATCCGGGTCAAATTAATACAAAGGTGAAGAGAAAATAATATGATCCGATCAAGTGTGCAATACGAGCTGCACTCTTAGACTGAATTATATTCGCACGGAAAGGTGTCAGCGAGGTTGCCGAATATCCTTACGATTTGACGAATCAGAAAAGAATACGCGTGGCACTGAAAGTCCGAGTGAGACGGCAAATGCCTGTGCTCGTCGTTAGCCAGTGTTCGCGTTTTAGGATGTAGCGAGGCGCTACACTACCCCTCCCCCTACAGTTTATGGGCTATCAAGCTGAACGGTTTCCTTTTCATATTTACAATACAAATAACATATATGTGGTATTCCATGCCAAATCGGCCAGCCGGTAACCTCGACCCTTAGATTTTAAAAAAAGCACTCTCAATTTTTTAAATATTTTTTCTATGTTGAGTTATTTTTTTGTTCATACTGAAAGCTAGAAAAAAACGCCACATTCTAAAAATCTAAAAAAATTTACAAAATTTTGAAAAAATATGATAAGTTTTATAAATTTGATAAGTTTTTTCCAGTTCATTACAACATGGAGAACTTGATGAGTAGCCCATTCACTTCTGAAACTCCAATATTGTTGATAGAATTAAATGTAAAAAAAATTACTTTTTCCAAGGAAAAAGTATTCGTTGGAAAAAACTGCACAAATTTTGTTTCATCACTTTTTTTGGTATCTCCATTATTTACGAAGATATTCCGCTATCTATGCAGAATGAAATCGTGAGGATGTTCATTTTAACGTAACTAGCGCAGGCGCGGCCGCAAGCGGCCGCACTATTGATGCTGGTGCTCGTGCGAATCTTGATGAAAATGCGCCTTGTTCATTTGAATATGAAGAGTGATCTCAACGTGAAAGAAAAAATTTTCAGTTCAGAAGAATAATGAGAGGCAATATGTTCTACTGGCCGCTTGCGGTCGCAGCATTAACGCTGTGGCTTATGCGAGTCTCCATGAAAATTCTCTTTGTTTTTTGTTACTTAAATATGAAGAGTGATCTCAATTACGATCATTGTTCAAAGCTGAATTAGATGGCAGCAGGGCGCAGCGTTTTCCATTTGTGGAATGCATTAGACAGAGATGGTCACATGGATTTCATCCTTGTCTTCCCCATTGAAAGTAACGGTGCTCCCTGGCGCTATCAGTACCTAAACTGGCCACCGATGATCCTAATGCGAAAGAAAAAATTTGCAGTTTAGATTTGAAAGGTAATGAGTTCTGCTGGTCATTTACGGACGCAGCTTTGATACTGTTGCTCATGCGAATCTTGATAATACTGGGCAATCTTCATTTAAATATAAAACGTTCTTTTATTATGAAAAGGGAAATCTTTCAGTTCAGATAATGCGAGGCAAGGAGTTCTACTGAGCGCTTGCCGCCGCAGCATTGATGTTATTGCTCATGCGAATGTACATGAAAATGTGATTTATTCATTCAAATATGAAGAGTGATTTCGATGCGAAAGAAAAAATTTGCAGTTCAAATAATGAGAGGCAATAAGTTCTACTGGCCGCTTGCGAGTGCGGCATTAATGCTGTTCCTTATGTGAGTCTCCATGAAAATGCTCTTGGTTTGTCATTTAAATATGAAGAGTGATCTCAATGCGAAAGAAAAAATTTGTAGTTCAGATCATGAAAGGCATGAGTTCTACGAGCCATTTGCGGATGTAGCTTTGGTACTGTTGCTCATGCGAATCTTTATCATAATGCGCAATATTCATTCAAATATGAAGAGTCATTTCGATGTGAAAGAAAATATTTACAGTTCAGATAATGAAAGGGAAACAACGGGTCACTCGCTTCTCATCATTTGCAATTAATATTGTATTATGATAGCTTAGTTGTACAGTTCTGTGTATACATGATTTTTCACAGTATTTGTCTCCCGTTGTTCTCCCAAATATACTTTTTGTCATTCCGACCGTGAGGCAGAGATTCACGGACGCGGAGCGGAGCGGCCGTCATAACAAAAAATACTGTTCGTCATACGGCCAATAAAAACTTTTCTAGCTCATATGATTAACTCATATTCGCCAGAAAAGTTTTTTTCGGCCTAGTGACGAAATATACTATTAAGAGAATCCCATGAATGGACACGTGATAAGGCGATATACAGCTGACCATGATTGAAAACATCTCTTCTGAGATCTATTCCAATTCTTTCAAAGGTTTGACCTTGAGATTTATTTATTGTCATAGCAAAAGCTAATGTTATTGGAAATTGTCTTCGTCCAAATTGAAAAGGGTAACTTTCATCGCTGTACAAAGTGATACGATTTATGAAGACGATATCATTTGCTTTATCCCCTGTAAAAATCTTACACTTCAATAAATGCATTGACAGTTCCAGAACTTGTACTCTTGTTCCATTACACAAACCTTCGTTAATCGAAAGATTCCTAATTAACATGACGACCGAATTGAGTCTTAATCGCAATTCATGGGGCGGTAAATTCGATGGATTCAACGTTTCCAAGTATTCAGGTAGAAGAGCTTCACTGATATCGCCGTTATCACAGTTTTCAGTACTATTGACAGCAGTATAAATTTTCTCTGTCGATTGATCTACTAATTCTACCACTTTCCTATTGATATCAACGTCTACATTCCTTGCTGATAATATTGCCCAGCTTGTGAGTTTTTCATATTGTTTATTCACAATGACTTCCTTCTATATATCTTCTGCGATGTCTGCATCCGGAGACGCAATACATGCTGGAGGTAAACATAAATCTAAATCATTGATATTAGCAGTTCCATCACCCACAGTTATTAAATATTTTGCAAACTCGGCTTCTTCGTAAAGAGTGCGCATATTTTCTGTAAGGGAGAATTGAGTAAAAAGCGGCCATAAAGGACTAAATTTAATTGACAGATCTACTCACTGCGAGTTGCATTCTTCTTAACCGGCAGTAATTGTCGAAAATCACTGCCAAGTATGAACAATTTTCCACCGAACGGTTTGTTATTATTCATTATGTCACGTAATGTTCGATCTACCAATTCTAATGCATGCCTGAGGGCCATGGGTGCTTCATCCCAAATGAACATATCAACACTTCTCAAATATTCAGCCTCTACCGATTGCACTTTGATAGTCTGGGATGAATCACTGTAGATTGCAAGAGGTAATTTGAAAGTTCTATGCACGGTTTTACCAAACGGCAGTAAAGTGGCTGCTATCCCTGTGAATGCCATGGTGGATATTCTTCTATCTTCGCTTCGTAGCAAATGATAGAGAGTGGTATAGATGAAAGTTTTCCCGGATCCACCTGGTCCATCGATGAAAAAACATCTAGATTCTTCAGTGCTCCCATTTTCCACGTTTGTTACAATTGTATCGCAAATTTCTCTCTGCTTGTCATTGAATTTTTGATATTGTTCAGTACCTATTTCTTGATGTCTTTCAGACGATATTTCATTCTCGAGATCCTCAATTTCTGTGATTTGAGGCATCGTTGGAAAAGCTGAAAGACTGGACTTTTCCTGGTGGAGTAATGTGTTAATTTGGACATAAGCTTTTTGATGAGCTCGATCAGACTGCATTGTTCTCAAATAGTCTTCCCATAATGCATCTTTAAATTCTTCCCACAATTTTTCAGGATGAATAGGGTGGCAATGTAGTAAAATTCTGATAAATAGTTGTCTCAACTGCCTCGGCATCATCCAAACCTCAGCCTCGTGCATGGCATTAGTCCATTCACTATCGTCTGCAATTAAGCCTCGTGCTAAACAGGCAGCTACAAACGTTTCGTGTGTTATTCCATTAACTGTTTTCAAATCTTCATAACTTGTAGCTCCTGTCACCGATATCAAGAGTAGCCTGAGATGAAATAATTCAGTTTGCGTTGGACTAACAGAATACATTCGTCCCAAAACATTGAATTGACATTGACGTTGATTCCAAGTACAACTGGATGCATCTCCTACTTTCTTGAAAACATAATGAGTTGGTATCTCTGAATATGTAAACTTTCTAGCTTCTGGATTGCGTTGATTCAATTTGAAATATTCCGTGAGCATTGTTTCTTTGCTCAGTGCAGATCTCAGTTGATTTTCATTATTGATATCTGCAATTAGAATATTTTGTTGATTTGGTAAGTGCACTGGCAATCGAATGACAGAATGACTCCTTCCATGTAAATTGAAATTGAAAATGCGAGCACATGCCTCAGGAGGACTGACATAGCGTGTTTCTATATAGTTCTTGATCTCATCATGTTCTATGATATTTTTATCTGATTCAGAATCTGTAATCACTGCAGCTGCAGAATCGTGACCTTTGTAAATATATTTGTATAAATATTTCACTGCTTTGATGCTGGAAACGACTTCCACATTGATATGGCAATTGAATCTTAGTAATAGAG